GAAACATTTACAGGTTGCTCAGGCTGTTCAGGCTCCATAAAACAAAAAAAAACACCTACAATATACATACAGTTCAGTTCTGTTGTAGTTAGTACCCCGCAAAATCAAAAGACTTAAGTAACGAACTTGCTCATAAAAACTTTAAGCCACTTGTAATTACCCGGAAAATCATTAAACTGGATATACATTAGAGGGCTGCACGAATTCATTCAAAACGGCTTATGAATTATTCGTATACAAAACGAATGAAAGATTTTGGCTTAAATTTTTTCTTAAATTTGAGTGAATACCTGTTCTGTTACATGTGTCGATATTACAATATTCAAAAAAAGTGAAAATAACGACTTTGGGCATTTGCAAGAACAACCTGAGCTAAAAATAAAGATAAAAATAAGTAGAAATATGAGGCTGAGGATAACGATAAATGTAAGATAAATATAATGGAAAAATATTAAGATAAATTAATTATGAAGAAAAGGATATACAGTCAGCGTCAAAAATATGAATACCCCGACGTTTTGATGATTTTTTTATTTATATTTTCCATACCAAATTTTTTTTAATGTTTTCATAAAAATATAGTTCATTCTACAGCAAAAACCAACAGAATCAATTTTTTCAATTTCATATAGAACTCAGGAAAATTCAAGAAATACCAAAAATTTTCATCAAAAATTTCCACTTTTCAGTTCGATTTCTTAAGGTGTCCCGAATTTATGTGTGGTGGGTTTAGGTGTGATGTGGTGAGTTTGGGTGTGGTGAATTTACCTCCTTTCATTTCATCTCACCTCAGCACAGCGATGAAAATCGTAAATAAATTTGATTTCTTGAATCGTGATTAGATCTGAAAAAAAAAAAATGAAATTGAAAATAATTCGATCTTTGCGGGCTTTTTAATTGTCCGCACAAATTCGTTCTGTAAGTGCAAAGTGCACCGTATAAGCTAAGAACTTACAGCCCATACACTGTGCACTCAGCAAAACTGCATTGGATTGCCAGATTCCTAAGCGAGAGAGAGAGAGAACTCGACATTCTTTAGCCAGCAATGGCAAAACTATTTTACAATGCCAATGTCTTGCCTACTGGGTACGATATAAGCAAATTAACTTGTTTCTGCCAACTAAACAAATATGGCATTCTGGATCGGCCACTGGCAATCGGAAAATACTATATATATCGAAATATACGGCTTTCGGTTGGTGTGTGTGTGTGTGTGTGTGTATGCATTTTAACTCTCTTGAGCATCTGAGCACATATCTTCGATTGCATTAGCGGTAATTGTGTACATTTGGTGTGTTTGCGGCTGCTGCAGCGTACGACGACTGCCACAACTGCTTCCCCCATAATTAGTCATATTTGTTTAGCTGTGATATGCAATGAATGAATGAATGAATGAATGTGCGTATATGGTCAATGTGGTTGCAGCTAGCAATGCTGCGCTGGTGGAAACGACAATATGCGTTTAAGGCTTAGCTGTGTAGCGACCGGTTGGTCCAGCAGCTGTTGCAAGCGTAGCTGAAATCTATGCAAAAAGTAACAAAGTAATTCTTCTCGTATACATTATGCGATTCTTTTAATTTTAAACTTTACATACATATTTGCTAGGTAAGCCCGTTGTGTTTCGCCGAGTGCCTCGACGTCGCACTAAAGATAGTTAATAGATTTTATAATAAAGCGCTGTGCGCTGAGAGCGTCGTCGCCTGCCTTCTTTCGCTAATAAATCTAACTTTCACTTTCAATTAGCAAATTTGTCATAAGTAACAGAAGCGTGTATAAATTTGTAGGAAAGCTTTGATGTTCTTTTTGGTCTGCACACTTTTGTACACACTTACTTTTGTACATACTTACGCATATTTGCATATCAAATACGTGCAGACTTTCGTATTTCTCTGCGAACAGCGCGTACAGCTACAAGCACCCAATGCAGCAACGGCAATTTTCTTTTCCACTTTTTTTTTTTAATGTTTTAACATTTCCTAAACAGTTGCAAGAAAAAATTTGTTAATTAATTTTTTTTTTCGAATCTCACCCTGCAAGCACCTTATTACTCGGTATGTACATGAAACCTATGGAATTTATTTATGGCTGGTCACTTTCGTTGTCTGTTGCCAAAAATCGTAAAAAATTGTTTTGTAAATTTGTACGTGTTTTATTTTTTTATTTTCTTTTTTGAAGTATTTTCAACATTTTTTTTTTTTTACAATATTCCTCGAAAGTGCAAAGAAAGAAATAGAAAAATTACGCATTCTTCTCAGCTAAATTGTGGCGCGTATTTTCACTTGTCGCCCGTACTTCCATAGAGCCGCCAGCTAGCTAGACCGCCGCTATTGGTTTCGCTCATTTTGTATGCGTTTTGCGTGCTTGCTTTGGATTAATGAGTCAAAAGGCAGGTAGTAAGTAGTTAGTTACAATTTTAGCGGCTGAGGGCGCGCAATCACGGGACCGTAAGGTGGCAAATGGCCAACAACTTGCGCATGTTTCTAACCCAAATGCAGTGGGTGCTCTCGCTTTTTGTTAAAGCGGGGCATTGTGAAAATTTAAAACCAATGAAGCTAAGTTCAAGTTATTGCATACAGTTAAGAATTCCAAGCAAGGAAGGTAAGTGAAGAAATGATGGATGTGGGCTAAAAACTACGGCGCTACGAACTCAGATCTGGCTCTTAAGCTCAATAAACTTTGGTGCAAAAAAATGCCTCCTCGAGGAAAAAAAAACGTAGATATATCATTGGTTGGTTGGTTTCAGTGCTTCCTAGTCGCTTTCCAGGACACAATTAGCGTATTGGTGCGCCATTTTGATGCACTTCTCGAGAGGGATATTTTGTCCTATGTTGCTAGGTCGAACCATTTCGATTTTGAATTAATGAATTTGCCGATTTCGCTTACGATAGCTTCTGATAGGTCGGTTAGTTGTGCTACTAGGTGCTTTTCTAATGTTTTGTGTCTAATATTCGAAAGGCCTGGACATTCACAAAGGAAATGCTGGACACTTACTTCGCTATCGTCTAGTTGACAGCTGCAGAAAATCCTATTATAGGGTAGACCTATTTTTTCCGCATGTTTTCCTATGCGCCAGTGCCCCGTAACGGTTGCTACAATTCTGAATACCTCTGGCCTTGATCTGCTAAGCAGGGGCAAGGTCTTTGTCCTGTTGTAGTCAGGCCATAGTTTTCTCGATATTTTACAAGTCTGTATATCTGAAAACCGGCGTCTAGCCAGTTTAAGGAAATACGAAATAATCTCTCTTTGGGGCAACCCAGTTCCACCGCTTGGGACTCATCCAGACCGGCTCCTGCACTCGCCAGCTCATCGGCCCTCTCATTACCTTCTGTGTTTATATGTACGAGAATCCAGAGAAAATAGACGGTAGTTGATTGACACACCGAGCAGAGTATCACTTCATTCCCTAGCTAGGTTGGATTTGCGTACCCGACTCGATTGTCTAGAATTTACGGGCTTTAAGGATCCATAGAATTTCCGCTTGGAAGGTGCTTGTATCATTTCCCATTCGCATAGACAGAGTAACACTGAGTAGACTCCCGTTCCTATAACGAAATCCATCTTAGATCCGCCGGTGTATAGAGAGATCGCCTCTCGGTATTTTCAGCAATCCCTTCGGGATGGAAGTAACACTCGCTAGTGCCAGCTGAAGTCAGAATTGCGTACTATATATGTAGTCTGTCGTCCTACTTAATTGCATTTGATTTATGAGCAAGTCATGTCCGTAGTGCCTAGTCTTCCAAAGGCCTGACTCTCTGAGTCTGTGACGGCCGTAGTTTGAATTGTGGTATCTTATTTCTTTTTGTAAATGGGATTTCGCTAACGGTTAGGAGTAATGGGCCTGTAGCTGCTATTACAACATGATCCGCATACGCCACAACTTCGACGCCCTCTCTATTGAGTTCTAGCAGTATGCCGTTCAGGGCTATCCCCTATAGCAGTGGTGATAGCACACCGCCCAATGTTTTGGTGTTTCGCGATTTTTCCTTTCTAACCTGGGTATAAGGGTACCTTTACGCTTTTCCAGCTTTTTGGAATGTAGAACCAGGGAGGAGGAGAACCAGGAGAAGCATTGTTGGGATTATGCCATCTGGTCCAATGGATTTGAAGGGAGTAAAGCTGTTGATAGCGTAAACAATCCTTTCGGAGCTCTCGATTGAGCTGAACAGTCTACTACTTGAACAACCAGGTTCGATTGACCCTGACGTGGATGGATGTCGAATTCATCCCGCGAAATTAAACTTGACTAACGTATTTAAAGAATCACTAGTAGTATTCGTCCCCATTTTCTACCTTAACGACTGTTGTATTGGTGTGTTCTTTCGATTGGATTTTGTGAGCCTGGCTGAATCTTTAGAGTTCTCTACGGAAGAACAGTATGATTGACAGGATTTAGTTTTAGAGTTTCTCAGTTCTTTTTTATAGGACCTTAGGCCGCTTTTATATCGCGCTCAGTGCCTAATTCTAAAGTAATAATTGAAGATTTTTCTAATTTTATCTCTTTTCGCTCTGAGATCCCCAATTCATCAGGGTGAGGATATCTTCCTTCCGGTACTCCCTGGAGTTCAGCTTTTAAAGGTTTTCTTCATAACTTCTGCTAGTTTATTTACTCTATTATTAGGTCCTCAACTTAGTGACAATTGTGTTTAATGGACCCTTATTTAGTTTACGCTTAAGTGCAACATATATATATCTTAAAAAATTTGTCCTGTGGGGGTTTCTGTATTTTGAGGGGTGTTGGAAATTCCGTGAAGATTAAAGGGGATCAGACGGTGATTAGACATTGAAGACCTATCTGATACTCTCCACTCTTCTACATACACGCTGTCGTTCTCCGACAACAGCGTTAGATCCAGCACATCCTCTCATCCAGGAAACCGGTTCGAACTCGGGAATATAAAGGTAGGTGTATTACCGCTATTACATATGCTTAAGTTAGTATTTAATAAGAAGTGTAATAGAGACTGACCTCGATCGTTCTCTGTAGTACTACGCCAGTCTGGGGTTTTTGTCTATTATATCCTTGATTTTGGTTTGCGGACTGTCCCTATAACGGGCCTTTTATGATGCAACTAGTAGTCTGTCCGGTGGTCTCCACCGTAACAAGTGTTTTGACTGCTGTCCTGAAATTAGAAACACATTTGTATTTAAACCGTTCTTGACAATAATACAGGCCGGCGATTTACCCACCTTATTCTTATAGTAAAGCTGATAGCTCTTTATATTTAGTCCCATGACTGCCTCGTGCTTGACCGGGGACTCTTGTATTAGGCTAATGTCTATATCCTCCTCGCTGAAGAGAACAGCTTGATTATTTGTGGCGCATTGTGAGTGCTGCAGCTTTATTTGGGCTACTTTAACTCTCCGATTTAGGGTCATCCGTCAGCTTCACACCCATGGGAAGCTCACCAGCTCCATAAACCCGCATTCTGGCCTTACGGATACCAAAGCGAAGCCGGTAGTCTGCCTTTTCTAAGGCGTCTAAAGATTCCGCACAAATGGCTAGCATCATGGGGTTATTTGAAGGCCTTATTGGCTGGTTACCCTTTATAAGCTCCCATTTCTCGATCGCAGGTATGTCTTTGTTCTGCAGCTTAATACACCGTAGCAACATTTCGCCTGGTTCGTCCATCGGCGGCAGCCAAATGCGCCCACGTGGTCTCCTTGGAATATCTTTAGCTGGTATCAGCTTGAGCTTCAAGCCGACGAAAGTGTCGCTGATCTTAGCAACGCATCCAGCAAGGAAGTCCAGGGAGAACTGGTCCGCGCACTTGACTACCCGGTATCCCCGTAGGGATTCCGATGAGTCGAACTCTGGATGAGGACCCTCGGGGTTGTCGAATACGTAGTTCATTACGAGGCTCGACAGCTTCACATCGATCTCCACCCATTTCTGCTGCACTGTTAGCGGTGTCCTGCTATTTTCGTCTATTATCGCCGACTGTAGGTGATCTCTGGCGACGTAACTAAAATTACGTTGCTTCAAGGGTGTTGCGGACTCCGCATCACCGGATCGCTTGGCCTTCTTTGTAATGGCCCTATGGGCGCCCTCATTATGAGAATGGTTCCGTTTTTTTGCTTCGATGGCTTCGATTGTGGCTGCACGATCTGTCTGCATCTTTTCGTACTCTACCACTATTTTCATATATCTTGCCTTGTCTTTCTCGTCGCGCTCATGTACCGTACCGGCCGCTACATTTTCATGAATTTTTTCTAACATATACAGCGCCTTCTGGTACTTATGTTGCATGACTATGCCCGAAGATTTTCTTTTCTTGGAGGTGGGATTGCTGCCTGCAACGGCCGTCAATTTTCTACTTGTTGGTTGGTCATCCGAAGTACTACGGCAGGCACTACCGGTGCTATCTTTGACTATTTGCAGAGTGGTGATACTTTGTCTGGCATCTGCCACCCTGCTGGTTTCTGGTGCTCGTACAACTGGGGTACTATGGCTGGCGCCACCAGGAGTACTTGCAACCATCTTACTTGCCTGCGGGGATTTGAAGAGCTGTTCTTCTATCCCCGTAACGTTTTCCCCTTGCAGTCCGCTTGTACGCTGCTGACGTTTTTGCTGTTGTTGGTTTTGTTGTTGTTCCTTTTGTTCCATATGTGATCCCACGAGTAGTCCGGAAGAGGTTAGTCGCTCGTCCGCAGAGCCGGGATGCGTGGAGAAGGCACTTCTAACAACCGACCTTGCCCGGGCATCGGAGGGGACCGTTCGCGACCAGCCACTGTTTTACTACCCGCTGGCCATTCATCCACCGGCACGGTTGCCTACACACCTTGGGATTGAGTAGTGTTGGTACGGTAATCCCGACATTTTCGCCTTCAGCAATACAAACGCACTCCACCTTGAATTGTAAGGAATATTGCCGAAGGTTGCAATGCCAGGCTTCCCTCTTAGTTCATGGAGGCATGATACAATTCACGCTGTGAATTATACCATAACACCATTTAAGCCCCCTCGCCACGGCAAGACGACCAACGCTGAGGAGGAGATATATTATAATTTAATATCCGAAAAATGCAAAAAGGCGAAATTTCCTTTCTAAACTTGCTTAGATTCCAAGGTGTACGGGGAACCTTTTCTGGTACGGTCAACTGCGTTTAATTTTTGGCTTTCCTCGTCCAGCGCATTGTTTGGATGACGGTAATGCCAGGTTAGATCTTCCGGAGCACATCGGCCAGCCGGCCCAAGGCACCCTTCCCATTGAGGTTGCGGACATTCCAGGTGCATGCACTCAAAACTTCGTCTTTTAAACGTTTTCCGTGGCCGTTATCAAAAGAAGGGGATCGCATCCGAGACATATATTTTCTTTTCTTTCTAAAAATTGTTTTACCTTGCGGTTCGGAAGCTCAGCGCATAAGCCATTGCTGAGTGTAAGATTGCCACCCATAGGATACTTCATAAGCTAGAAATCTAGCCAAATAATCTGTCGCTTTTGTGATACAACTCTACTCCTTTAGTTGCACCTAATCATTGCTTTGTGAGGCAATTTCGAGACCACGAGAAAAAACTCGAAACTCAATTTGGCTAAATGAGGGTCAAATATACTTCCTACTTGAAAAAACTTTGGGAAAATTCTGGGGATTGTGGGACTGCCCGAAGAAGGGTAGAGGGGACAGTATGTAGATTCACTACGTTGTAATCATATTGTTATCCAGAACGGCCAGCTTGGGCACAGCACATCAGCAAGTCGATTCTTATCATCTCGGTCGGAGTAAAATTCCTCTACTACACCTCCACATCATCTCGCATGAGTGTAGGAAGGTACCTACTCCGCTATCCAGCATTTCCAAAAAGTTGTCCTTCAGTTGACGGGGGACGCTCCACTGTATTACACAACTGTTGATTAGGTTGTAGTTAATGACGACTAACAGAATACTCGAGTTGACGGCAATCTTATGGGGTGGTCCATTATATGACTATGTGAAGTGCCGTCGGGTCGAAAATGGCCGCCCCATGCGCTACTATTGGTCAGTCTATCATGCCGTACAACCACCGCAGGATATAAGTGCTGCAATACCATGTTTTTCGGAGGTTAATAAGTGGAATTTAATGTTCATAATTCACTAGAGCTTTCATTTCTCTGCCATTTTGATTATTTTTTTTTTAACGAAAGCTTATAAAAGGTTCATTCCTTATCTCTTTGGACTAAAATCTGAAAAGTGTCAAAATTCCAGAGCGTAAGCAAAATGCGCTCACTAAAAGAGAATAACAGGAAAAGTAAAGGAACGCAAAAAACCAAATTTTTAGTCCAAAGAATGGCAACAACAAAACTAACGTCAAATAAGAACGGAAATGTATGTACAAAACACATTCACACAAGCACAAGCACAATAAACACTTACTATATCAATTATTTTTTGCCTCCTTCCAATTTCAATTCACTTTTTTTACTTTTTTGATTATTCTCACTTTTTGCGTATTTTTTAATGTCCGTCAATTTAAATTCAATTTAGTTTGACACTTTTCAGGATTTTGCCAGAAAAAATTCTTCTGACTAAGTCTGACTACTTCGGACTGAAGAGAGTCACTCTCACTGAGTGTTGCTCTCCCATTTTTCCTGTCATTTTCGAACGCTTTTTGAACTAAATCTGACTACTTCGGACTGAAGAGAGTCACTCTCACTGAGTGTTGCTCTCCCATTTTTCCTGTCATTTTCGAACGCTTTTTGAACTAAATCTGACTACTTCGGACTGAAGAGAGTCACTCTCACTGAGTGTTGCTCTCCCATTTTTCCTGTCATTTTCGAACGCTTTTTGAACTAAATCTGACTACTTCGGACTGAAGAGAGTCACTCTCACTGAGTGTTGCTCTCCCATTTTTCCTGTCATTTTCGAACGCTTTTTGAACTAAATCTGACTACTTCGGACTGAAGAGAGTCACTCTCACTGAGTGTTGCTCTCCCATTTTTCCTGTCATTTTCGAACGCTTTTTGAACTAAATCTGACTACTTCGGACTTTTTCTGACTATTTCTGGGAGATAAGGAACGCAACTAAAATTTGCAGAGAATAGCTGAGCCCGATTTTTGATTTTTTATTTGTTTATATTAATTGTTTTAGTGCAAAGTGCAGAAAAAGAAACAATTTTGAAGTAGATCGATTCTCCTGTTACAGTTAATAAAAGTTACATAATAAAAACTAGTTGAAAACAATTGTAGGGTTCTTCCAAAACGAAAAAAGATAAAAAATAATTTGAAATGTTTTGAAAAACTTTTTCACCAAAAGAATTTTTTTTTGTTTCTATAAAAATTTTGGGTATGCAGTTTTTTAGATTACAAAGTGCAAGTTACAAGTGGCAAGATCGCGTTGATTTTCAACCGACTTCACAAAAAGGAGGAAGGTTATCAATTCGGCGGAATATTTTTTTGTTTTATTTTTAATATTTTTTTTATGTATGTTACCGCATAACCTTGGACCACGTCAATCGATTTCTGCAATTTCTTTCTTAAAGAAAGGTGGTCCCATTCTAATTTAGTTTAAATCCGATCATTGGATCATGAAGATATTAACGATAATCTTAAATTTTTATATGAGAATTGAAGCTGATTTTATTTTTTGCTTAAATATTACTTGCTAATAATTTTTTCGCTAACATTTCGATCACATCTGCATACTAAATGGGAAAGAAAAGCGTTTGTTATATCATTAAAAATCAACTCGAACTCTTAGCAACTTGCAACTTGCATTTTCATACTAAAATTTGATTATCTATAAAACTGCATACCAATTTTTTTTTATAAAAACCAAAAACAAAAAAAAAACAATTTTGGTGAACATTTTTTATTTTTTTATTTTGTTAACTGAAACTTTTTCTATAAGGAGCTCCAGCTAAAATCTTTTGCTCCTTTGCTTCGCTCCGCTCCGAGGCCCTTGTTTAAAGCAAAGCAAGACTTAATACGAATCAGAGGGATTCGATCTCTATTAAAGGATTTCGTACTATTTTGGCCTTATCGAATTTCCCGAGTTTCTTTTGGACTTAGCGAATTTTCGTTTCATTGAATATAAACGATAAAGATAAAAGACGTACCTTTACCCTTTTCGAAACGATGTATTTTTGATTTCTCGAGCTTCCTCTATCAAAATATCCTTTGCTGCCAAGCATAGCATACCATACGTGTACAACAGTTTTCAAGAATTGGCGAATAGGGATAACGTGGGTGGGTATACAACGCCTGCACAACGTAGTCAAATTCTTAATGCATACTCAATAAGCATAATGAATAATCGTACACTATACCCTTTCATATGTCGTTTACATCTCATCGTTGAACCCTTTCCACCTCGAAATCATCGCATGATGCTAGATCATGGCAAACATGTTCTCCACGAGAAACCACTTTGCATGAATGAAGATCAAGCTTTGGAGTTGATAGGACACTCGCGCGGCAAGCGATGTTTCCTTATGGGGGCATTTGGTCACGTTGTGTACCCGCCTCTAGGCACAAACGCAACCAGATTGAAAGTGGCGCTTTAGGCGATGTGGAGCATTGATTTGCACATTTGGGCTGCCAATGCAAAAAGTTGGACGAGAGATGTGAATACATATTAATAGATAAATTAGAATACATATGTATATATATATACATGCGTATGTAGTAAAGATTGCATTACTTTCAAATATGTATCCTAACATTTACTTTCCATTCTTAGGCGTCGCAGCCTTAGCGGTGGCGTTACGCTTGAGCTTAGCGTCTACGCACTACAGTTTGCATTATGGTTTTTTGGACACGCACCGCACAATGTGAGTGCCAATGTTAAATTAAATGAGGATGATGTTGACGATGAGGCGCATATTGTAATGGATTTCGGTTCGGGCCATAATTCGGAAATAATGGTTAGCAGCACAAAACGACTCGACAACAGGGCGGTGATAAAGTGCAGCAATGGCAGCATAACTGTCAGTGTACAGCGCTGAAACTTAAACTTAACTAAATACGTAGGTGCCCGATTTCTAGTGTCCGGTGAATATAATAGATGTTGATGGCGAGGAAAGACAATTGTCCTTGCCTAAAAGTGACCTGTTGACATACTTTCCTGATCGGCTGGCATTGAGCTTTGAAGCAGAGGAAGTACGGCGTTGCATCCTGCAGCGTAAGACGCAAAGTGAACTGCCCAATCACAAGGAAAGCGTGTTGCTATCGTCTATTGAAGATCAAATTCGGAGGAAATTGGGCGTCATTTATACGGAGGATAATAGAGTGAATTACTGCTAAAAGTTGACGTACGAAAATATCTACCTGAAAGTGGGTACCTACTTCAATTTGTATTAAAACTAGAAAGAGTTATGTTTGGCAATGCACATGCACGTATGTATTTTTCTTAACGCTTTTTATATTCCAACTCATCCTCCCATTCGTCCTCGTCATCTTCCGCATCTTGTGGCCGGTTCAGCTCACGTTCGAACAACTCTTTGAATGCTTCAAATTCCGCCAAACTAACATGACAGACCTTGGTAGCAAATGCTTTCTCTGATGTGTTAGTTATTTGATAAAGTCGCGGATTTTTCGACGGCTCATCGGGATCCACTTTTAGGGGACGCGGCTTAAACAATCCCAGTCTTTCAAGAAAAACGTGCCTGCAACGTATCTCATCTAGCGATTTTGACAATGCTTCTGATTTTATGATTTCAGGCACTTCAACCCGCATTACATTCTTAAGATACTGCACTTTCTCTTCTATATTCCGCTCATGCTGTTCCAGTAAATCGGGACAAGTCATTAACAATTTCCAAACATTTTTGTTAGTACCCGCAAATGACTTCAAGTAGCCCATCTGTTTTCGCAGACGCAGCTCATCGGACACATCCAAAAACTCTGGATATTTTGTTAAAAGCAAAAACATGAATTTCTCACCGAATTGACAGCTGCGCCAATGTTCAATTGCTTCAGTTATACGTCGCGTAGGGCGTGAGAGCACCGCTGGATTGCCGGTGACAATGCGCAGAAAATCGCTCGTTTGCAAACCGTGATTCATAAAAGTCTCGTGTGCTAGTTGCCATTGGGTGGCAGGTACTCTAGCCAGCAATGGATTTAACTGGACCGCCTCGTTAATATGTTCTTGTTGCAAGACGGTGTCGTTAGCCGGTGCTGTGGCTACGAAGCGGTTCTGTGACAACTGACAGCGGGTGAGCTAAGCAGAGAAAATTCGTTGGTTGCCTGCTTACTATAAATTTCTTCGCACTTACCTGCCCATTTCTTTGAATAAATTGCACGTTTTGATTGAGTTTGAAAAGAAACTTTCGGATCATTACGTTGAATTTGTAAAAATGCAGGTGATAAAAATTGCGGCGAATTTAACAGCTGAGCTCCAGAAATACCGTATCTTAGGCTAAGCGCATAGTGGAGCGGCGAGCCTTACAAACATTTTTTGATTGCTAAACCTGTAGTTTTAAACCCCAAGCAACGTAAATCTGGGGTCTTTTTTTGCCAAAATCAAAAACTGTATTGAGAAATCTGCAAAATTTAATTTCAAAATTATTTGTTCTCTAAAACAAAATGTTTAAATATTGGGTGTGTTTTCGTATTCTCCAGAAAAAAATTACCCAGTAACTAAATTTCAGAAAGAAATATGCAAGAAAGTACGAAAACGCAAAACCAGCAAGAAGTTGCAAGTTTTATGAACAGCTGATTATTTTGGTAATGTGAATTGCATAAAGAATCAAGCTGTTTTTCTTACTAGCAAATAGTTACTAGTAAAAATTTATCCAGTAAAACTTGCAAGTTCAGCTCTAATTTTTGCTCTCTCAATTTCCCCTCTTTTGCTAGTTTTTGCGTACGAAAACGCCATCTAGTAAAAACCAGTGAATGGGCAGGTTCCAAAGGCGCAGCAGTTGAGCGCAACCGTTGCTAAAAAAAAATCAGTGATCGTAATGCGTCTTCTGAACGGCTTGATACATTAACTGTCAAATTCAACAACACCCAACATGTTGTCTCAAATGATCAGAAATATATTACGATCATCTAACACGCAACTGTTCAGTTGATCAGAAATACAAAACGACGCGTTCAGAAGGTGCAATCGCAACAGTTACTGAGCTGTTGCGCCTTCTGAACATGCCCAATAGTGTGTTCGCGAACAGGTTTGTTATGGAATAAAGTTTAAAATGTGATGGCATCTCCTCATATTCGCATAATTGTGAATAGCATAGGGATAAAACGATACTTGCACATATCGATACTTTTGCTTTGAGGTAATAGTATTTGTTGTGTTTTCATAGGCAATGATCGTGGTCCGGTTAAAAAATGTGCACCCCAATACAACAACGACTGATCCTGATAGAGATCTGGTTCAATTTATGATCTGCTGTGTTTTATTCACGGTTTGCTAGCACTGACAAATGAATGTACATATACACAAAGATATTCTTTGTTTCTCTTAACTTAATTCAAAAAATTGCCTTTCTGTTAAATATGTATTTAATTTAATAATATTTCGTTTAAATGTACTTGTCGGAGTTCATTTTTATGATTTCGTCTTCCTCGTGCTAGTAGTATAAAATTAGTGCTGCCAACCCCATTAAGAATGATCCAAATCGTTTCCGTGAGAAACGATCGAGCTTGATAAGCCAACTATTGATAGCTAGAACTATGGGAAGTTAAGTAAAGTCATCAACGAAGATTTTCCTGTAAAACATACTCTCGATGTTGTCAATTCTCCCATTCCTCTAGTGGATTGGACTTAGAGCGCACGCAGGGTTGGACTTATGAGGTGTACTTTTATCCCATGATGCAATAATACTGATAATAATAATAATAATAATCCATATGCCTTAGCTCAGTAGAATGAGAAGAAAAACGGGAAGAAATGAATCCCCATATGGGGGAAAAATATAAAATTTCACATTTTCTCCTAAACAAAATTTGCTTTTTTATAGTATGTTCGATATGAAATGGAGTAAAATACGATGAATTATCTTCTTAAGAAAACAAAGTGTGTATACTGAGCAAAAATAAAAAAACATTCAACTATATTAATGGGCACAGAATAGTTAAAGAAGGAACACCGTTTCACGCAAGGCAGTCAATATGGCGGAATTAGAGCGAGAAGCTGCCAACTGATAACACCTTGTATTATTGCATCGTGCTTTTATCCGTTGTCTTAGGGGATCCATCGTAGGAAACTCAGTGAGACAAAAACATATAAACATATATATCTTGCGATATCAACTCATTGCTTGGTTTAAGGTTATCGATAAATAGAAAGGAAGAAAAGTATCGAGCATCGATTTTTGTGAATGCTAGAAGAAGAAGAAGCAGAATATAAAAGATATTGCGAATTTAGCCGGTTTTTGTCTTAGGTCGGTGTTATGCAGAAATTTTGTTTGGCAAACTGCGTGCAATTGTTGTTGCAGCAAACTCGGAGAGAGCGAGTTTGGCGACTCTCACAGCAAACTAATTTTGTTTGGTCAAACTGCAGCAAATTCGGTGTTGTCATATACAAAAATTTTAAATTTTGCGCGTTATGTACATCTGAAATTCTCATTTCGTGTTGGCAATAGCCATGAAAACCATAATGAACGTGCAACCCTGTGCCAAACTCGACATAACCACCTCCGAGCAAACTAAGCAGCCGCCATTTAATTTGGCAAACAAAAGTTTGTCTGCATAACACCGACCTTAATTGCCTAAAATTTGTGAGTTTTTGATATTTTATTTAAATTTTATCTTAGGAGATAATACTAATATATTAAGTGGAACATAGTTTACAAAAGTTGCAGAGAATTTCAATAAACGCATGCATAAATCTCGTGCAATTTCACTTGACCTTGAGATGGAGTTGTGCAATAGTGACTGTGAAGTTGTGTGCTACAGGTGTTTAGGTTTGTTTATTTGTGGTTGCTGTTTGCTTACTAGCTAGGATGATATTCGATTATCATTCAATTATTATAAATAACAATGACTATGCATTGCAAAAAATGCGTACACGGGGAGTCACAAAAATTGTTGCACGGAGGAGGTCACTTTAATTATCCTTATCAGCACCACTCGTAAGCAATTTACTATGCACTATCAGCACACGTTTGGGGTCTTATCTCATATGATTTCAAAAAAAAAAATAATAAACTTATTTTTTGCTGGTTATCTTACCAATTTACTTTGTATTTAATAAACTGTCCACGCGCAACTTCATTCAGTTTTACGTTTCTTCTCCAACAGATTGCAAATAAAGTTAAAATGGCATTGCGTTGGGGTATCGTCTCTGCGGGCAAAATTAGCCATGATTTCGCTGTTGCTCTAAGCACGTTACCAGCGAGTGATCACAAACTGGTTGCGGTGGCTGCACGCCAAAAGGATCGCGCTGAGGAATTCGCTACGTTACATGAAATTCCAAATGCTTTTGGCAGTTATATAGAGTTGGCCGAATTCGCTGACGTGGGTAAGTCTTATTAACAAGTAATTTTTAAGCAAAAAACCAAACCGACTTCAATAGGAGGCTGAGTTTATTTTATGTCAATTTTATTAGAAATGTTAAAATATAGCTATTAAAAATTTATAATAATTTACCTCATTAATTTTTCTCTTTTTAACCGACAAAAAAAGGAGGAGAAGTTCTCAATTCATCGGATTTTTTTTTATGTATGTTATCGCATAATTTTGGACCACATTAACCGATTTCGATAATTCTTTTTCTGGTGCCTCAGGGGAGGTCCCACCCTAATTTGCTTTAGATCCGATTATTGGATCATGAAGAAATTAACGGTAATCTTGAAGTTTTACCAGAGAATTGAAGTCGGTTTTGTTTTTTGCTAAAACTTACTTACTTAAACAATAATCTTCGAGCGTCTTCTGCAAAAAGATAAATTGTTGTAGTGATGATTTCATTTTTGTTTTTGTTTTTTTTCTACAAAACCTCTGTGAATGCTAAGCATACCTTAACCTAAATTCAAGTACAAACTAAGAGAAAATATTAAAAGTTAATAATTATTTTATCCTTTTTTTAAGTAAATGACTGTTTATCAGACTGACAAAAGTAATCTGAAAAGGACGTTCACAGTTGATAAGATTATCGAGGAACAGTACTCATTTTATTTTTGTATGTGCACTGCTATGTGACTGCTCGTCTTTGCAATTTGCGGCCGAACTATGTGCAATCGAAGTTAAGGTTTAGATGAAGTGCTGATTATTAAAAAAAAGTTCATCAAAATTATATTTATTTGATATTCTGATTATTTCTAAAGCCACTTGAAAATATGTATGTATGTATTTGTATTGAACTTGCACTCGACAACAAAAGTATCTAGACTTTCCGATAATTGCAAGGAACATTTTCGTTGCGCTGGGTATATAAGAGATAACTGTATCTTTGATATTTTTTAAGATTGGTTGGCTTTCGTAAATTTTATATTAATAAACATCTAAGGCAAGAATATATTTCATGGAAAATGCAAGCGACAAAAAAAATATATATATATACAGTGGATCACAGGTTATTTGGTACAGTAACCAAAGAGAAATACAAATCGTCATATTTTCTAAACAAAATCAAGTAGTGAAGATTTTTAAATGTAAATCTTAAGCCCTATTTCCATCTCACATATTACAATAAAAAGATCTTATATTTCTATATGCAATTGCGTTGCAAGTGCGAAATCGCAACTACGACACAAAAATTTAGGTCACAGCTTATTTGATACAGGTATTTCTGCGCCGCATAACGGAAAACTGCCTCGACGCCATAACTGTAGTTTGATGTATATGTTTCTTAGTAACATTAATGATTATTGTCAAATCATTTTTACTATGTTATNTTAGAAAAAATATAATAGGGTTATTCTCAACCTATTCGACCAATCTCGACAGCCAATTCGAAAAGGCCCTATCTCAGAAAACTTTTCAAGAACACCCCACCTCAGAGTTTGACTGAAGAACGCCCTATTTCAGAATTCGGTTCAAAAAGGCCCTACCTCAAACGAAAACACATTAAAAATGTGCTGACATAGGGCGTTTTTGATTTGGCAGCTGAGATAGGGCGTTTTTCAACCGAATTCTGATATAGGGCGTTTTACAATCAAATTCTAAAATAGGGCGTTCTTCAACCAAATTCTGGAATAGCATATTGTCGAAAAATTTTCTCAGACAGGGCGTTTTCGAATTGGCCGAGATAGGTCGATCATCCTCTCAGAAATCGATATGAAAAACGATTAGACACGTACAAACTTAACCGGAGCGACCCAGATATACTATATCTGGCCAAAACCCGTCACTCCAGCCTAACTCCCCAAAAAGTCTAGGGATTTGTATGCTATTACAACATTACATTAATAACCTTATCCATGCGTATTCCCCTTCAGATATTGTCTACATTGGCGCCTTGAACCCACAGCACTTGGAACTTTCTTCGCTATACCTCGAACATGGCAAGCATGTATTGTGCGAAAAGCCACTATGCATGAATTACAAGGAATCGAAGCAGCTTACTGATCTCGCCAAAAGCAAAAAACTTTTCCTTATGGAAGCAATTTGGTCACGTTTCTTCCCAGCTGCTCAATATTTGCGCCAACAGATCAAGAGCGGTGCATTGGGTGAACTCAAAGAGGTGGAAGTGGCATTTGGTTTCGATTTAAGTCATGTTGAACGTTTGACGTAAGTGTATTTAAATTAAAAAGCACATATGCCTTTAAGATTTATTAATTTTCCTTCTTATGATCTAACAGAAAAAAAGATTTAGGCGGTGGCGTTGTGCTCGACTTGGGTGTCTACACCATACAGGCTTCACAGTGGGGATTCCAAGAAGCGCCCGAAAAAATCGTGGCAAAAGGCGAACTCAACGAAGAGGGTGTGGATAAATATGTGGACGCCGTATTGCATTACTCAGGTGGGCGCGTTGGCAAATTAATCTTTGGAGGAAAGGAACAGTTGGCGAATAAGGCTGTCTTCAAGGGCAGCAAAGGCGAAATCACGGTAGGATTTCGGTTTATCTAAATTGTTTGAGTTCTTAAGTAAAAAAAACAATAACAAAAATCTTAAACACGCAGCTAATCGATTTCTGGTGCCCCACCAAAATCATCGATATCGATGGTAAGGAGAAGGTATGGCCCTTGCCTAAGGGCAAACTGGCAACCAAATACAAGGATTCTGAAGGTTTGCGGTACGAGGCTGAGGCTGCACGCCAAAGTATACTAAAATCTGAAATCGAAAACGAGAATGTTACGCACAATGAGAGTTTGATTATTGCCAAAGTGCAGGATGAGATTAGGCGTCAAATCGGTGTTGCCGTGCCAGAGGCTTAGAAGTAAATAAAATTGCATTTATATATTCATGCTGCTGTATGTATATAAACTGCCAGGCGCGGAATGTGCTTGAGTGTTTGTGATACTGAATTATCATTGTTTTTGGTTTTAAAAGTGCATAGCATTCAAATCACCTCTAAATAATAGAGTGCATACTTGTATAACAGGGATGATAACCTTTTTTATTATAAACATTTTTGTTATATTATTTTACTGACATTGTATGTAATTTGCTTATACGGGAATATATATATATTATCAATAACGAAAAATAAAATATATATATATATACATACATATAAGTTGCGGCTAATATATTCAATGCACTCTTCAAGATTGCTACCATTGATAACCACACACCGATGCACCAAATCAAACCCACTTTTTTGGTTTGCAGTGATTTCGTCGCTGCTATTTTGCATTAGTTTACCAACGTACGTGTAGCGCGCAACTCTATCTAAATAATTCGAAAATATACTTATACACAAGAACGAAAAATGCCTGTGCTTAAGTGGGGTATTGCAGCAGCTGGGCGCATAACGCATGACTTCGTCACAGCATTGTCCACCATTGAACAAAGCCAACATATGGTGGTCGCTGTGGCCGATGTGGAAGAGCACCGTGCCAGAGATTTTGCTAAACGTCATGAAATACCTAAATACTACGATGGCTTCGATGCCCTTTCACTGGACGCCGAAGTCGATGTGGTCTATGTGGGCACTCTAAATCCTTTCCACTATCGCGTAGTGCGTCTAATGTTGGAGCGTAGCAAACATGTGTTGTGTGAGAAACCATTGTGCTTGAGCGTGCGGCAAGCTGAAGAGCTTTATCGTGTAGCAAAGGAACGTAATGTATTCCTCATGGAAGGTGAAGCACAATAAGTTTAATACTACTAGTGTGTACTATTATGTTTTGTTTTGTTTCTTTCCCCGCCATAGGCATGTGGTCCCGCTGCTTTCCCAGCTATGCGCGGTTACATGAACTCTTGCTTGCCGATTGCATCGGTGAGGTGACACACATACAAGTGCAACATGGTTTTCGTGCGGATGTGGAACGCATCTTGCAGCGCTCACTTGGCGGTTCCATTACGCTTGATATTGGCCTTTATGCATTGCAGTTGGGTCAATTCGTCTATGGCTGCGCTCCCATTGGCATCAAATGCAATGCACATCTGAACAGTGATGGTGTCGATGTGGAAAGTGAATTTATATTGGATTATGGAAAGAATCGAAAGCTCGCCGCATTCATATCGGGTTTGGAAAATTTGGATAATTGCGCGAAATTATTGGGCACCAAGGGTGAAATCAAGGTTGGTTATTTTCAGCTATCGAGTGCAGCTTTATCAGTGCAAATTAATATGGCCGATTGGCTGTTGATAAGCGATAATGTAAGCACCGGCTAACTGCTGTTAACAACAGCGGTCACTCTAAACTGTGTTGCGGCGTGCTGCAAGAGAAATTCGTGTTATCAGCTAGCAGCAACACTTTATCAGCAGTTAGTCTAATGATGTTATGAAAAACAAATCCGGGTTTGACGTAACAAGCGTACGTCAGCGGTGGGAAAAGTGCAAATAAATGTGCAACAAAAGCAATCCTTATCAGTTGGCGGGGAAAGAAATTGAAAAATAATTAACTTTTGTAAAAATGTTTTGTATGAAAATTTTTAAATCTTTTAGAACAGCAATGTAGTTCAAGTTCAATTCATTACCTTTTCAAAGATATAAAATTTTTGTAAATGAAATAGCTATTAGCAAACTTATGAAAAACTTTGTTAACCCATGTTGATGACTTTTTCACTTTTTGCCACGCCCATAATTTGCAGGAAAAAATAAAAAAAAATTTGTAGGACCATTTCCGTCAGTTTTAGTATGAAATTAAACAATTTGCAAAGATTCAGCCAAATCGAAGCCTAGCGCGCAGAAAATCAAAACTTTTTGTCACGTTTAATATGGAATGGCTGCATACACAAAACACCCGTTAATGATCTATATAACAAAACAAAAAAAAATAATAATTGTAGCGAAATTTTTTTGTATTTAAATTTTTGGTTTTTTCAATTTTTTTTCGTTTTGGGAGAACCCTACAATTGTTCTAAACAAGTTTTTATTATCTAACATTTATTAACAGAAACTGGGGAATTGATTTTCTTCAAAATTGCTACTTTTACTGCACTGCACTAAAAATATTAATACAAACAAACACAAATTCAAAAATCGGGCTCAACTGCTCTTATGCCAATTTTATTAGCTTTCAATTAAACAGAAATCTCAAATTGAGCGGGAATTGAAGGCTCCAGTGGATTGTGAACCCAAAATGCCAAATGAACCACTGTGCGGTGGAACGGTATGAGCTTCCCAACGATAAAGACATAGTGCAGCGAATAAAAATCCTGGCCAAAAATTAAATGAAATTAATTAAATATTTTTCTTTTTAAAACAAAATCTAAAGATTAAAAGAATTTATATCAAAGAAAAAAATAATAAAAGGCAAAATAAAATCTAAAATAAATTTAAAAAAATAAGTTTATAAAAATTAAATGAAATTGAAATAAAAACATTTTTCTGTTTAAAAAAATTAAGTATAAAATTAAAGGAAATTTAATAAAAAAAAAGAATAAAAATGAAAGAAAAATTTCGCACAAATACTAAGAAGAGGACAAAGGTTTATTTTTATTTGATTTAATTTTTAGAAACTTATTTTTTTTTTTTTTTAATTTCCTAATTATAAGACAATAAAATCTAAAAATTGAAAGAAAATTAAACGAAAAAATATTTTTAAATTAAAATAAACTAAAATCAAAATATTTGCCTTTTTAAAATAACAAAATATAAACACTAAAAGAAAAATAAATTAAAAAAAGAAAAAAGTTTATTTAAGAAGATAGCTCGGTCTTCCACTCAGCTGTCGAGGTGTTTTATAAAATAAATATGAAAAATATTAGTAATACATAAAATCATATGTATTTACATATCAAATTACATACCCATCCTTCCCTTAGCTCAATAACTATTGGTGCTGCACATCGCTGACGAAGCCCGGTAATGCAACGGAATCTTGGCCATTACCCGCTGCCAAATTCGAATTCAATCACACTAATTCCTGTGGACTACGTTATGAGGCGGAAGAAGTGCGCAAATGCATCGAGAAACGTTTGCTGGAATGTCCATTGTATACGCATGCGCAAAGCCTAGAACTAATACGCATCGAAGAGGAGATACGCAGGCAAATAAATGTAAACTATGATGACGTACTGTGCTTGGATTTATGAGAATAGGACACGATAAAAATGGGCTACTGGAAAGGAATTAGGTTAGATCATCATCGTGCACTTTGCACAAGAATTTGTAATGAGATTGGAAACCGAGCACAACCCGTACAGGAATTTGTTCATTTCGTTTTATTATTATTAATCTAAATAGTTTATAACTATGTTTATTCGATTCGTGTTATGCAATTACTATTACATACATTGTAGCTACATACATAAATTTATGCAAATATGTACTGTATAATCTAAATATACATACATACACTTGTGATCAGCTAATTAAGCCAGCAACATTTTGATGACTTTTGGCTATTTTTCTTTTGTTTATTTAATGTTTATTATTTTTTCATAAAAGTCTAGCTTATTTTATAGAAAACACCATATAAATGCACATTTAAAACTTTTTGCAAAAATTATAAAAAAATCTGTAAAGTTTCAGCTAAATTTTAAACTTTTTATTCAGAGTTTTTAGAATTTTTTATTTTATTTTTTTTTAGTATGCATAGCCTATTAAATTCTAGGGTAACACTGTGCAAGTTTTAAGTTGCTAAAGAATCGCGCTGATTTTTAATTAACTTTTTCTGACAAAAATATATTATCGACAATTTTTTATGGAAGCAAAAAAATGCGTAATGCAGTCAGAAAAAAATTATTAAAAATTAACGCGATTTTTTAGCAACTTAAAACTTGCTCTGAATAATCTGAATAAAAGTTGAGAACTTAGCTGAAACTTTGCGCAGATTTTTTATAATTTTTGCACAAAGTTCGAAATGTGGATTTGGATGGACTTTTATAAAAAATAATAAACATTAAATAAACAAAAAAAAAACAAAGTTGATCAAAATGTTGCTGGCTTAATTAGCTGATCACAAGTGTATCTATTTTATTTTTTTATTCGGCTTATATTTTTATTAATTAGGTTGTTTTTACTTTCCATTTTCAAATGTCTTAAATTTATTACATACACAAATTACTATCCTTTATGTACTATAAACTCTTTCTACTGAAGCTGCTGTAATCACTAAATATTTTATTTTATTTTGTTATATTTACAGAACTTATCGAAAGTGAATACTTAGTATGTTTCTAGTAGAGTTTGTGTTAAAAATTGCCAATTTTCGAAATTAAAAATAAAATTCCGCTCAACTTAGTTGACTTGCATTTTTATTAAAAACTTTTTCGCCCGAGATCAAGGCGAATTAATATAAGGTGATAGCAGGAGTACAAAAACAAAAATCTACATGTATTTTGTTTTTGCTTTGGCGGCATAGACTGTCAAAATCTGTAAGAGTGTGTGTGGAAATTCAAACAAAATTTTTCAATTTGATATCAGAAGCCGTGCGGCGAAACACATACACAAAATCAGCTGAGCTAGTAACACCACCTTATATTAATTCGCCTTGCCCCAGATTTTAAAATCGAAACGAATATACGGACAAAAAATTTCTAAAATATAAAAATTCGAGAGTTGACTTGACATATTGACGACAACTTTCTTTTTTTAGTTTTACAGAACTAGGTAGCCACTCGAAAATTCGACATCAAATTAATTGGCCCCGGTTTTCAAGAGTTTGAATAAATATAAACCCTGTTTCGACGTAAGGTTTAGTTTTGATGACTAGGATTCGAAATTCGAAAAATTAAATTTTGAAGATTTTATCTATCTTGAGCGCCAACCGCCAAAAAACGTATGCGATTTTTTTTTTCAAATTTTCCTTTGTGAAGCAGAAAAGACCCTATAGCAGCTACGTGTATTTCTGCATCAAAAAGAAAATTTTGGAAAAATGTCGCTCACTTTTTTTGCGGTTAGGGCTCGATATTTTGTCTAGTTTTATGAAATGTGCTGAAACAAAACGGTAGATTGCAAAATTTCGTGCTTTTCTAAGCATTTTTTCAGTTAAATACGCCATCCATATTATTTCTAATTTTGTTCCTCAATTTCTACCCTTGAGTTTTATAATACCCGTAACTATGTAGGTGAATGTATGGGCCTTCAATCACCAGTCTCTTTAGACGGTCTGAAACGGGTTTTCAGCACATGTATAGGCATACTTGGGGATCTTTGTTTATGGTGACTACAAAACCGCCAGCAGGAAAAATAAAAATGTCCCAAACTATTGAATTCAATTGTCCTTCTGCACTATCTGTCACCTACTACTAGAATATTCAACAGTCGTTTAGAAAATATTATTTTGAAAAGAAAAAAAGGCGACCGAGTAGTTACAAGGTCCTCAAGTCGATTGCCGGCAACACTGGGACTTATCCTGGATTCCAAACTCCGAGAAGGACCCACGTTGAAGCGCCGCCTCCAAAGCTACGAGACCTCTGAAGGTGTGCAAACGTCTAGAGAAAAAAATACTGGGGTTGCACCCCAAGTATCCTAAGTTGGACGATCACCATATTAGTTCGACCAGTAGTAACCTTTGGGACAGGGCATCCAGGACTACTTTGGCAATGGCGAGGCAGACCCTCACCAATATTCATCGGCTGGCGTGAGTCTGAATTACGGGGGCTGTGCTGGAGGTAATGCTGGAACTTGAACCATTGCATTTTTCAGTTGTACAAGCTCTCGACGACCTTACCAAGCATCTTCTAAGCGGAAGTCTATGCCATTAGCTTGTGTGCTGAAATTTACCTTCGGAGGAAGTATCACAGCAAGAGGATCCTAAGGAAACGCAAGGCGTTCGGTTTGGAGTGTGTAAAGAGGCTTCATGCTCTGGCTGAAACCAATACCATGCAATTGCTATGGGTACCAGAACACATGGGAGTCAAAGGAAATGAGGAAGCGGATCAGTTATGCAGACTGGCAGCTGCCTCGACCCCGATAGGACCAGAGTCTGCTCCTTCAATAGGTCTCAACCCTATAAAGGAAGCGCTCAGGAAGGAAAACACCAAACTAGCGCCGAATCAAAAGCTTACAAGGTGGTTACAATATAGGAATCTGGTCAAGCGACCTGTGTGTCGCTTCTGTGACGCTGCCAAGGAGGCTCCATCACACCTTCTGGAGTGTGTGGCCGGTTCCCGCCGAAGGGTGAGGAGCATATTCACTTCCTGCCCCGGGAGCTATTCTGAAATGAATAGTCTCTTGGGCTGGCTGCGGTGTTGTGAAGAGTTGAGCGTGCAATAGACATTCGGGTTCGTTATCTAACCATTTATTTGGTCATTGTGGGATTAGTTGGATGCAGGGTACTAAGTTTCAGGCTTCTCAGAACCACCGGAATCTGCTACCAAAGGAATCGTACAAGCATTTGCTTGAGACAGAACCTCAAGCTAGGCACGTAAGGAAGCATCTCTTCGAATACATGGGCGGTAGGCAAACACACCTAACACAGGCGAGGAGGCCGATGGCGTATCGGAAAGCACTAACGGCATCCATAGATAGTTCGTCGCCAGCTTCAGTGATTCTCGACGTATGAATGTCGCTATAGCAGCCCAACTACCACCAAAAACATACGCACCTATTTTTTGTGTCTTATATTAAGCTTAATTAAAGGACACTAGCAATAGATCTGAGATAGAATAGTTGGCTGACAGCGCTGAGTTAATATAGAGTTAGAATGTTGTTGTTGTTGTTGTAGCAGCATACAAATTCCCCAAAGACTTTTTGGGGAGTGTTGCTGGAGTGACAGTCCTTGGCCAGATATAAATCTGGGTCGTTCCGGTTACGTAGACCCGACTGTCGTGGGAACGATAGAGTTAGAATAGTTCATCCAGGTAAGATAGTCTTTCGCACGGCCTTCAAGAAAGGATATATTGACGCAACTACTACAACAAAAAATTTGTCATAGGGTATCGATGTAACCATCTCGTGATAAATAGAACAAAATTTAGGGGCTTGAGAATTTGAGTTTTTTTTTTAATCGTAAAAATTTTACAATATGCTGACTTGAAATCTGGTAAATTTGGCATATTATTGAAACTTATTTATATAAGTTCAAAAGCTCGCTCAAAGTCAACATTTTTTATGATTTTTGCGATTTTGAAAAAAAAAATAAAAAAATTTTCAAGCCCCTACTTTTTTTAATATTTATGGATGTCTTTATTTTGTACGTTAAGCAAAATAAAACGGTGCCCCATATGATGATATTTTAAGGATTATTTAAGATAACTTTTTCGATCTTACTTGCTTTCTTATAGGCGTCTTAAACCAACTGGAGCGGAATTTACTTTTAGAAAATCATTTGTTTTTAGTCTGGTAAAAACCAGAGTTCCACAATTTCTTCCGGCGTAAAGTCTGATCTTGTCTTGAAAGAACTAACCAATAAATTTTAATTAAAATTTTTCAAAAACCAATTTTTTCTTGAACATAGTAAGTGTGGACGAACTATGTAACAATCGCTGCCATATTGTAGCCTTGTTGCTTTCTTGATGCTCTGTTACTGATGATCAGCTGGAAATCTTGAAATGCTGCAGAAATCGCACAGTAAAAATGTTTATATTGTATTTTATTTGCTAGTGATGAGCAACGGATTTTCAAACTTTCATTGCTCGAACGCTTGATGTAGGCAGAGTCGCCCACATATTCGCGTATTGCCACCCACGGACAATTACTGCTTTATGAAAAGAAACGCCAGCAGCTATCGTGACGTTGATGAAAGTCGAGAGCAGCGAACACTTTCTTTGCCACTGTCGTTATTGTTGTTGTAACAGCATATAAATTCCCTTAAAGTTTTATGGGGAATACAGCTGGAATTGCAGTCCTTTGCCGTATATAAATCTGAGTCATTCGGATTACGTAGACCCGACTGTCGTGGGAACGTTTTTGCCTTTGCGACTACCGTGGTGTGGCAGCGCCGTCTGTACTGATACTACTGTCTTTCGGAATTAAAAGCTCGTCGAAAATTGGCGAACTACCACGCTTCATGAGGAAAACTGACTGGTTCTATTTATACACGTAAACCGTCGGAGTCAAAACTGAGCCAATCTAAGATGACTCCATTCGGCCACCTGTACCTTCGGCCTCCATAACCTAATCGAACCTACTTGCATTTTTGCTCATGGTATTAATGCTCCCATATATTTTAACACATTTTTTACAATAGTTAGTGCAAAACTGTTTAATGTGTTTGCGAATGTTTTCCACATACAAAATAATCCATAAATAGGCAGGTTCTGCAATTCACTCCGGAGTGAACACTCTCTACTCGCGGCACCTATTCGAAAATTTATAGTCTCTAGGGCTAGCTGAGGTGTTGTGAGGAGCTCAGAGCACAATAGGCCTACTGATCGCACTTTTTACACGAAAGTGGGCAAACTCAAAAGTATACTTATGGCGTTTCCATCTTTAGCACAAATATTGCCTTCTTCTTAGTATTGTGTTTGAGAAGAGGGTAATGAGGTGGAAAGAAAACACTATTAGTATTTCATAAAAATTTTAGGGTTTCAATACTTGCGAAGTTCTCGAGACTCGAGGAATAGTTAACAAAAAAAAAAAAGCCGTTAAAATTTTATGTAGAGTTTTAGAGTTGAACTTATTTCAAGATTATGTGAAAAAGAATTCCTGGGTCTTTTCAACAATTCCAATAATTTGCAAAACCGATTTTATTTGAATGTCATATTTATTTTCAGAAGCTTTGTTTATATGTATAATTTCCGTCGCTGTATCTTTAGTGGTTATAAGCGAATTTAAAATTAACACAAGTAAAACTTAAAATAAACACTAAATAAAAAAGCAAAATGAATGAAAAATTGAAAGGAAAACTATAAATTTTGGAAGATATTCTATACCCCTTTTAGTTTGAACATACGACAATTACATATTATGTAGTAAGTGTATATTTAGGCATAGTTTAAAATGAATATATCATTAACTTGTATTATACATTGATTAACACTATTATAGTAAGTATGTATGCATTAATATTTAAAAGAAAAAAACTGTTAATTGATATTTGTTGCAATTTTCCATTGTGTGTCTGTATGTGTGTAGGTGTTTTTATACAAATTCTATACACAAGTTTTTAGTTTTCATGGAAGTTATGCAACAAAGCAAAAACATGAAATTTACATTAACTCATTGGAGCGAGCTAGCTGCTAATACGCTGCCGCTGCTTTACTACAAAAAATTCATTTATTCATACGGCTGCTAGCTCGTCAGCTTATGCATACATTTTCTTTTTGTTTTGTGTTTATTTTGATTCTTTTTTTATTAATATTAAATATTTTATAAATTGTGTGTGTGGGTAATTCACTTACATATGTAACTCCGCTTAACATTTCTTATATTTCATCTTTATTCTCTGCATTTCTGTCTGCTTTTCCTTCGTTTACTTCAGTTTTACGCTTAGTTATATGCTAATAAAAATCAAGTCTTCTCCTTAAAATTGCTAACAATGTAGTAGAAAGAAGCATAGCGTAGCGTTGCATGATGCAGCGCAACGCCTGTGCAACTGTTTATATGAATTTATGTTATGTTTGTTTATAGCGAGCGTCGTGTGAAGATGAATGTGTGTGTGCCTGGTTGTTACAAAGTCATCCTTTTTCGCAATTTATTTGCACGCCGAATCCACTGCGCTTGTGTCAGTATTGGCAGTGACAGTAGTTGTGATTGCAGCAGCGCTAACACCACTAACTGCGCAGTTATCAGCGACTAATGCAACAACACTGCTAGGCGTGACATTTGCTTTTTCAGTGCCTGCGCACGTAGTGGCAGCTGATCCACCACTTGGCTTCTCCACTGTATCGTCATTGATGCCAGGATTTTCGCTGGCAGCAGGTGTCGGTTCGGTTTCTGCGACTGCAACTGCTGCCGGTTGCAGCGCGGTCTTTTCGCCGCCATTTTCATCATCTCCTGAGTATTGTGACTCTGTGATTAGCGTTTTTTCGTCTTTTGCTGCAACCTCATCGGCCACCTTTTCCTCAAGTTCATCTTCAGTTTCATCTTCTTCTTGTTCTTCCTCCTCTTTTTGTTCCGGTTCAGCATCTTGACTGCTGCTGTCATTGTAATCACAATCGGTAGTAACGCTGCGGCTGCTTATGAGCGTACTTGTACTAGTGCGAGCACTAACGCTCAAACAAGACGTTTGCGAGATAGCCACAAGCGTGGCCGTTGTATGGCGATTTTGCAGTAGTAAATCATTGATTTGTGAGAGCCGCGCTGCACTGGAAATAGGTGTGCTAAGTTGTATGAAGCTGCTGTCAGAGCCAGTGCCGTTGTCGCCGAAGCCACTGATGTCACCGATACTATCTTTAGCGGCAAGCATTCGATTGCTGTTGCTGCTGCTGCAGGAAGTGATTTCGATTGTGGTGGTTTTGGCAGCGCTGCTGTTATCGCTGGTGTTAGTGGCGCCGCAGTCGACATTTCCAATGTCAACTTCTGTAGCGCATTCAACGAGCTCACGGCCACCACTGTCATCAATGCTGATGCAGCTGGGCGCTGTGGTGCCGACAAGCGCATAGCTGCTGGTGTCTTGATACTGTGCCGCTGCTGCTGTTGTGGTAGCAGTGCCGTATGGTGGAAGCGAGGGCACGGCGCACGAACTGAATGTGGTCGGCGGTGGCAGCGTAGAGTGTGTGGTCGCAGCTGCAGCTGTCGTAGTGGCGCTCTGCTGGCTGTGCTGTGGTAGATAAGCTGCGCTAGATGTTTGCTGATAGGCGGTGAAAGTGGAGACCTGCAATTGGAAAAAATATAAGATAAGTTTCAAATTGTAATTAAGGAAGGGCTGCAGGTAGCAGAACAAAAGTCACAGAACTACGTAAAAGGAGTTACGCTCGGCATAAGTACCAACCTGCGTTTGCTGCACTGCCGAATAGTTGATATTCTGGTGATAAGCGCTTACAGTGGCAGTACTTGCCGCCACGCCAACTGCGCTGCTATAGGCTGGCACCATTTCGCCGTACACCGGTGTGGCAGTAGCGGGACCGGTGAATAAATTTGCCGCATCTAAAGTGTCTAGTTGATAGCTTTGCTGCTCAGTTGTGCTCACAGCACTGTAGTGTGCAGAGCTGCTGCTCTGTTGCTGATAGTAATTGGCCGCCGGTTCGCTGGGATATGCGGGCGAAGCATAACCGGAACTGTAATTTGATTGTGTTTGCATGGCATAGTAACTGCCGGGTAAATTATTGGCGTACGATGGCGTCGGCGGTAGGGTGTTTGCGAGCGGTGGACCCACAGCGGTAGCAGTTGTGGCACAGGCGGTTGCCAAGCTATAGCTGCTGACAGTACTGCAGAGTGGCGGATTTTGCTGTTGACGATTTTCCATCTCCAGTCGCATGATAGTGTGTATGAAATGTGTGCGTACACGCGTGGGATTAAATTCGACGCGGCCCACTGTATTGCCGCATGCATCGCGTGTACAACCGCAAGGAAACATGGCGCGATCGACCTGTTACGAGTGAGCATAAGTTTAGATAACAAGTAATAATAATATTGGCGAAGCATTCACTTGCCCATTCATCTACAACTCACCTGACACTTAATTCCCGCTTGACTGCAGGCACAAGTTTCCGGATCACAGAATTCCACACACGTGCAGCCGCACACCTCACGCGAGTTTCGTATGTCGCGACATTCAATCTTCTCGGCAGCGTCAATTTTGCGTACGCCAGCTGCTTTAAGCAGAGCGCGTCGCTGTTTCGGCGACACTGGCTGTAGAAACCCATTCGACTCGGCATCCAAATCGGAGCCGCTGCCCTCACTTAGGTAATCCTCCTCGGACTCCTCACTGTCGTCGCTGGATGAGCCCCGCGGGTTGATTTCCTGTAATTGTAGGCGATGCGCGCGCCGCAACTCAGCCGCATGTTCTGCTAGTGTTAGCGTTTTAAAGCCAATATGGCGTGCACCCATGCCCAGCGTACAACCGCCCGCTGAGGGCACACAACCGAAACCTTGTTGTCTTGGAAAATAGTAAACTTGTACGTTTTCAAAATTAATGGAACGCTTAGGTTTTTTAACTTGTGAGCCGCCAGTGGTTGCGAGCTGAGTTTGTTGTGCAGCGTCGACAAGTGCCTCTTCCTCATCGAGGCGACGTTTCAAATTTGAACGCAACGGCTTTGCGACCGCCGCCAGCGGCGGCAATGCAACAGTGACAGCAACAGGCACAATTGCGCTGGAAGTGCCTGCCACACCATCTGTTACTGTTAAATTGGAAGCAGTGTCGCCGGTGCTGCAGCTATTACTTGCGCTTGTTTTCGTTTTGCCACCAGTGGGCGTATTTGTGGCACTATTACCGCTGGGCGCCGTCAAGTGGCTAGTGTCTCCCAGGCTGGCCAGTGTCGTCTGGAGCGTGGATGTCTCGCTGCCCAGCCCTGAATCGGAACCATCGCTGCGTATCTCTTCCGCATGTTCATCACCTTGAGTGTTTAGTGTTGTTGTTGCAGCATTATTGCTGCTGTTTGCGCTGCCGCCGGAGCTATTGCGCTTCTCTTTGACTACATTAGCCGTAAGCTGCCGCTGTGGCGTGCTTGTGGGCGTGTGTATTAATTGCGGCTCGGTTAGTAAGTCTTTTTCTGCATTTGGCGTTGTAGTATTTGTCTTTAATTCATCGATATTGATCCATAGTAAATCGGCGCTAGTGGAAGCCTCATCATTGGTGGAGGAATCTAACGGATTTGAACTATCCTTATTGGCCGAAATCGACGGCTGTGTAAAGTCGTCGATGGCCAGCGGATCCTCGGAGGGCGCATCGGAAGCAATTGAGGAGTTCACATCGACATCGTTGAGCACGATGATTTCACTGTCTAAAATGTATAAAGAAAATTGGAAGAAATGTAAAGGCGTGGTTTTTAATTTTTTTTATTTTATTTTATTTTTCAAATTTTGGGGATAAATAGCAAACGATAGGAACTAGGGACGGGATTTAGGGTAGGTGCTTGAGCTTTTTAAAGCCTGTTCAGCGGCTCCCACATTTCAATCTGAAGCGCCGCGGGTATTCGCTCGGATCGGACCAAATTTCGGGAGGTGTTTGTAGAACGGGTTCACGGGGCATGTGAGAAAATGGTTTGCGTAATGCGGGCTATACTCCATTAGTTCAAGACATCTGAAGCTTCTTCTACAGTGAATGGCGGTGGCGTTAGCCTCTCAATGAATGTCGTTCTGTCAAGGCCGCCGCTACATCGACTGTGTTCTGCTAGTCTGCGGAGACCAAATTGGCGCAGTATAATTTAAACCCGACCGACCAAATGCCTCGTATGTTGACAACAAAACAGCGTTTCCTTGTCTTTGCCACAAGTGCTGATGGCAGGCGATTGTACATCCCTGTTTTGGCTCTGAGCTTTACAACTTGAATTGGTTAAGCGTGAAGCAACAAATTTTTTACCATGCTATGAAACTTGTGTACAATATTAAAAAGGGCAACCTGCCGGATTATCTTAGCGATAATCTCAGAGAGAATAACAGCTTCAGACTCCCGATTCATAGAACGGAAGTGGACAAAAAAAAATATTTTTAATAAAGTCCTTTAATGAATTACTAGATGCTATAAAAAATTGTGATACTATCACTCTTTTTAAGCGGCTGCTATATGACTATTGTAGTACCCAGCCTATAAGATAGTGATGTATGAACAATAGCGTGGATTGGAAACTAGGCCTTTCCCACCACCAAGATAACGAGACTACGTGGATCGGAAACTCGGCCTTTTCGACTACCTAGAGCACATTAAAAACCTTAGATAATAAACAAAAAATGAGCGGATTGGAAACTAGGCCTTTTCGGCCACAAAGGAGATATGAAGATATGGAGTAACCCAAAAAGTATAGCGCGGATTGGAAACTCGTCTTTCCAACCATCTACATAACCTCCGGACAATGGCAGGGTTTTATATTGATATAACCGCTAGAAATACCGAGTTGTTGAAAGTGGATTTTAGTACCTTGAACTCCTGTGTCAGATGGTAAAAAGGTCGCCGCTGATTTAATAAGGTAATCTGGGATTTATCATCCGATAACCCCAAAGCTTTTGTAATGCTAAAAAAGGAAATTAACTATTTCTACATTTCCGAGTTTATGACTAGAGATTTGGTGGCTATCCAAATAACGACAGATCTTTGCGGGCAATCACGAGCGTTAATATTCGCGTTGGCCTACTTTGCAGGCCAATCCGCCATCCACCGCCAGAGGAAATTAAGAGACTGGTAGAATACAGCGAAAAGATGTGCCTCCCATTGGTCATTAGGTGCGATACCAACGCGCACAGTGTGCAGTGGGGTTAGCACTGACAACAAGTGAGAGATTACTAGAATTTATATTAAATAAAGACCTTAGCATCTTCAATGCAGGTAGCAAGCCCACTTTCGTAACTAGTGTAAGAGAGGAAGTTGTAGATATTACTCTTGGGATTCTCAGACTGGAGAGTCTCTACGCTCGATGTCGGATTACAGAATCATACAGTTCTCCCTATAGGGCATCTAGGAACAGAGGTACGCTCAGTAGGAATCCTAGGAAGACTAAATGGGTTAGTTATCATAACTTTTTATAATTCAACTTAAGCGCCATAAAGTTAGAGAACAGGTTGAAGGGATGGTTGGAACTGGAGGCAAAGGTTGACAGCTTAAAAGAGGCAATAAGCAACTCTTTATGTATCCAGCTGCCGACTAGCAGGATCAAAGGGTCGAAAAAGTAAGCCATGGTAGAACTTCAACTTCTCAGCTCGCCGGAAAGAGGTCAGGAAACTCTTTAAGCGGGCAAAACGGACTGGGAACTGGGACGACTACTCATCAGCCCAACCCATCTACAACAAAGAGATTCGCGAAGCCAAGAGAAATATGGCAATAAAACAACCAGATGAAAGCTTCACCCGAAGTGAGAAAGAGAGGGCTCTAGCTCTACTTAGCAGTTGATTTAGAATTAGCAACAAAATCTACACCGACATCAACAAGATCAACCGAAAGATAAAGAAAAAAAAAAGATCAAAAAGCTCAACTCTGTCGTACAGAAAGCTTTAAGAATGTGTTCGAACGGTGAGACGGCATGTTAGTAACGGAAGGTTAACTAGTGTTACTCTGTAAGAATAATTTGTATCCAAAGACTAAAATAAACAATTAAATATATTGAGCTCCACATCGCGTGACAATCTAGGATGGTAGCCTTGCGTATGATGTCTGCATCGATAAGACGATCTCTACGGAGCACATTATTTGTGGTTAGCTCTTGCATGGAAATGGGAGCGGAATGAAGATTGAGGAGGAGAAAGGCTCAGAAGTTCCCCATGGAAACAAGGACACTCAATGGGTGATACGGGGCGCCAATTAATTGGAGGCCACAAACCGTGTGGTTTCTGGTCTGAGGTTTGACTAAATGTCAGCCCGAGTAAAAAGAAAATAAAAAATGCATAAAAACTCTGCTGCGAGTTTTCGCCAGAAACGAGCCAACGATTCTTGTCTTCGTTCAACAGTGCCAACATCTTTCTTCTCGCTCCAATTACTTCACCATGCCCTTAGACCATTTTGTTGGTTGAGCCAAAAATGTTGCAAAACTTTGCGGTAGATCTTCTCAAAATTATTCTTCTCAGAACAAGCCTTGTGTTTAAACTTCCATAAAAGCTTGCACTTACCTTCGAATCGGTGCTCCTGATAACTTGGCAAATTCAAAAATGTATCTTCAGCATCTTCCTCCTCCGTGACAAAGTCATCCTCAGCAGTATCTTCTCCACCACCAGCAGTAGTGCCATCATCACTTAGCACTGAAATTGCTTCAGCACCTTCACGTGGATAGTCATCATATTCATCTTGTGAATCAACTTCAATGCCATCACTATGATCGTATATTGAGCCCTGTGACCGGTTTAGCTCCAAACTCTCGACGTCATCTGCATCCACTTCATCTGTTAGGTTTTCCACCACAGAGACACGTTTTAGTGGTGCCCGCAGCATAACACTGCTTTTAATTTGCAATTCAATATCATCGTCGGTGTCATCGCCAGCGTATGCAGCAACGTCCCCGCCAACGCCATTCAGTTCTTTAGCGTTAACCACTTGCCCCGGGTCGCTTTTTCCATTAACACAATTCATCTTATTCACTTGTATACGCTTCATTTCTTTATGCTCTCTTGGATTAATTATAACTTTGGAAATACTGCTTTCTTTAGCGTAAATCTTCTCGCTTTCACCTCTTGTTACTTCACTTTGTTCGCAAATTACTTTTGTTGCTTCGATGCCGATTTCTTCAGCGCCACGTACTGTTTCGTTGTCAGCTCCTGTTGTAGTATTACCAAAAATTGCGCTGCCGCTTGCATTCTTCTGTATATAGTTGATGAAGTTCTTGATTGGTCTGAACATTCTATCTGCGAGAGAATTGCTGTTAATTCTGCCTCAGCGGCTAGCAATGCAACAGCCTCGCGGAAGCGCGTGCGGTGGTTGCCGGAGTGAGTGAGATTTTGGAAATTTGTTCGGAATTTTACACAAGATTAAATGCATCTGAAAAGAATGTGAAAGAAGAATTTGGTAAAAGATTTGCTACCAAATAATAAATAAATAAAATAATAAAGGATTAGACAAAACTGTCTTAGTTCAAGAAGCTAGAAAAATCAATCAAAAACAGTAGCGCTGATTATACAATGAAGGTTATACAAAAATGATTAAACGTTTTTTTTTTTAATTTAGAATTTTTTTGTTAATACACATGCATTTCGCTTTTTAGAAAAAAAGGAAGAAGGAAATTACTGGCAGCTCAAAAGACATCCATGCACAAGCCTTTTCGCGAAACGTTTCCACGACATTCCGGATGTCGAAACCAATACGACCTAGAGTTTGAAGATTTGGCCAACGATTATACAACTCGACAAGTTCAGCTTTACCTCCTACTTTCAGGTGATAAAAAATGATTGTGGTTGTTGTTGTAACAGCATACAAATTCCCCAAAGAGTTTTTATGGAGTGATGCTGGGGTGCCGTTCATGACCAGATATATGTGCCTATATAAATCTGGGTTGTTCCAGTTACGTAGGGAACGATAAAAAAAATTGATTCTGCAGTTTTGGGTTTTATGCAAGGTAGAAGCTGGAAAGCTCAATGCAATCACCCGACGCGAAAAACGAACAACCCTACGCCTATGAGATCAAGGAAATGCTCTCAGATGGCGAAGAGACTTTCGATTTAGAGAAATTAAATAAAAGTGGGGAGACGCCGCCCACGATGTGGTTAAGCCCCACTAACGGTGGCCCCAGAATACATTTTGCTTCGACGGGAACGTTTCAGTGTAGAGCAGAAATATATGATAGCCATTTACTTTTACTTGTCGGCCCTATGGACTTTAGAAGCGCGCGCTTTAAAGTTGTTATTTTTTTGTTTGTTAAAAGGCAAATATATACATATGTACATATCGTCGTTTAAAGTGCAAAACCGTGTATCAACAAAATGCAAAACCGCGTAACAGCAAAATGCAAAACCTCGTATGTGAAGTTGTAGAAATTATTTTTTAGAGCGTAAAAACACTCATATTTCAAAATGATTCTCTTTTTTATAAAGCAATCGCATTTCTGGCTAGTATATTTCAGGACGAATGGATAAGGATTGAGCCAAGAACATGTGTGAGCAAATCGCATTTTTGGCAGCCAATGTCAGTTACGCGGTTTTGCAGAATGACGATACGCGGTTTTGTACTTTAAACGACAATATGTATGAACATGTAACTCAAAGCACCCATAAAATATTTACTTAGTAAAACTATGTATTAAAAACTTTTAGTAAGCTTCATATGCTCTGTAATTAATTAATTTAAGTGCCTTTCAGCGCATAAAGAACCCTCAAATAAAGGGACAAATGTGCATATATACATACATACATATGTACATAACTAGCAACATACATACATACATACACGGATAGATATATCTATATATGTATATTTAACGAAATACTACGTAGCGTAAAAATTATACATCCTTTTCAAAAAGCATAAAAGTGAGAAAATAATGAACATGGCGTATGAGTAAATTTCACTACACAACAGAACAAAATAAAAAGTGAATGCAATAGCAAAGTGCATACATACATTCATAAGCATATGCATACATTCATAAAGTAAACGTAGCTGCATTTACAACATACGAATGTATGTATGTATGTAAAAACATAAATATGTATGTATACACCTGTGAGTGGGAGTACACACTCAAGACCTTTAAAATAAGGAAATACAAATAACGTTTGCGATACACTGTCAACGTTGCTGATGATAGTAGCAGTCTAGTGATAGCTACAATGATTGCACGGATAAATAGTCAAAAGTGGGCAATGCACAAATTGTAGGGTAAGTGTGGATGAGTTGCGCGCCAATGATGGCGTTGCCGTGGTGTACGTGTGGTGACGAGCGTGTAAAATGTACATTAAGTGGGCAGATTGAGGCGGCAAGCTGCTATTAGATATGTTTATGTATGTAAGTTTAGTTTCTACTATATTGAAGAAATTATAACTGCTGCTGCAGCTAAAACAGCTTTGACACTCACTGTTTATGCATTTCTTTGCTGCTTTTCCTTCGTTTTTTGTAGTTGCATTGTTTCGTGCGCAGGGAAAAATTGGATACAATAAACAACTTGAGTTTGAGATTCGGTAAAGGCGAACATATACACATGAAGTGGGCGGCGATAGGGAGCTTAATGGAACCATATCGTTGGCAGGAGTAGCAGGTAATAAACTATGTATGTGTATATTGTTTTAGATTTATTTTTTCTTATGGATTTTTGTTTGTAGTTAGTTTATATTCGTGTATGTAGCCTTTTGTGCTATTATACTAAGGAAAAAAAATTAATAATTAATATTGATTGTCGAGTAAAATTGTAAAAAATGTAAATAGATATAAGAGATATTAACACTGTGACAATTTTAATAAAATAAATAATAATAATAAATTCGAAGAGTTGAATTAGTCACGCACATATGCACATTTTTCTTGCAAAGCTTTGACAAAGGCTTGTTAGGATTTGAAAGCGATAGTGTTTTTGATTTCAAACTAACCGGTGCATGTGGATACCCATCAAAATTTATGATGATATTAGTAATATCGACGTAAACTAAAAAATAAAAAAATACATATTTATAAATTAAAATTACTTGAAGAACTGATTTGAAATTTTAATAGGTAAATATTTTGGTTTTTGATAAATTTGGTAACTGTGATAATTTGTACTTTGAGCTAAGGAACTACTTTGTTTTTTCTTGTTCCAACCGTATATTACATGTACTTATGGGGAATTGTTTAATTTTTTAATAGCTTTATGACTTGTTACTTTTTTCCCTCTTCAGGCGCCATCTTCTTCGAGAACAACTTCATTAATATCACCAACTGTGAATCACACAATCGGTATGAATTATTCCAATAATTTACTACATAGTTGTGCAGATGAAATCCCAGGCTTTATCTTGTAGGCAGACTATGATAGTCAGTTTGAAGTTGACAAGGTATGTATGAATTTAAATAGGAATAAGTTTTCAGGTTAGGTAAGGTAGCCTCAAGTCGATGACATTTGATACAGCAAAGAAATTAATGTTTTGAGAGTAAAGTATTTTAAAATACAATTTAAATAACAACAAGAACAATTTTAGAGATGTTAATAAACCGATTTAAAAAGTTGTTAGAATCGAATTGTGCTTTGTTTTGGATAGGATTTAGAGATTAAGCTGTAACAAATTTTTTTCCATTTGAAATAATCGTTATGATTAAGTAAGTACTACCTATACTGATTCCCTCTCTTAGTTCGTTGCTTCTCCATTACTTCAGGTTATATAAACATTTGCTTGCATGACAAAAGAGGGCTACTCATATAAATATATATTACTTTTTAATGCATTGAGGTGCTCATTTTACACACTCAATGAGTATTTCCACCAAGTTTAAAATGATCAGATAAGATCGTGACCAAAAATGTAGGCATTAGCCCCTACTTTGTGGTGAACTTCAAAGGCTGTTCCTTCAAATTTATGGTGGTACCTACCGAAAAACTAGAACCTTTATAGACAGATTGAAGCATATTTAACTGAAAAGAAAGTTTTTAAAATGTATTCGTATTGGTTACCAATTACTAATTAATCCAATGCACGATACTACATTACTTAATAAATTTTGCTGAAACTGACCTTTGTAGAGCCTATGAAGTATTCCTTCCACGATCCAGATATATATATATATATATATATAGATATATTGTATTTGTAATCCTCTTGTTAAATCAGCAACACGATATGGTGACCTTTAGTAGTACAGCTCATGCCAGCAAATTTTTAATCAAATCATGGGCAGATGTCTGCGGCTATTCTTTTTCGTTTGCCTTGTGCGCCCCTAACGCTGGCGACACTTTCGCACAACGCGAAACGGCTGTTAAGCTATTTTATGGAATTCCAATAACTAGTTGCTTAGCGTCGGTTGGAATATTTATAAAACGCTACAACAAATGCGAAAATTTCCAAATGTCTAATTCGGCAAGAAGAAATTGTAACGCATTTGCTGCGCGTTTTGTCAAAAATTTTCACACACCACAAATTTTTTCACATACGCTCTGACGTTTCACTTTTTTTTCAATAACGGCATCCGTCTTTTTCGCAAATTTTTAATTCTTTTTTCAATAGAAATGATTTCTTTGCTTTCGACTTTTTGGTTTTCATTGAATTTTATAACAAATTGTTTATTTTCAAATAGTTTCAGTTGCGCTACAGTTTCAGTTTCATTAGAATATTTCTTCGCAGATTTTCCGATGGTAGTTTTCTACGGCTTGCACACAGCTTCTTCATTGTGGTCGTCTTTTTTTGACCGAAGAAATTTTGAGCCGCTCGACTTTTTCTTTGTTAGGTAAAGTTTTACTATTTTAAATTGTTTTTGCTCACCTAGCTTTTTTTAATAGCACTTTTGCGCTTTTCTTTTGCACTTATCCACAAATTTTTGCGTTGAAATTCGCAGGATTTGAATTTTCACAAATTTTCCTACTACTTCGCATTTCCACTTTATTCATTTCTGTAGTTTTTGCCTCTTCCACTTTCTGTTTCTACGCTTTAGGTTCATCTTTATTGTGTTTCCCTCACGTTTGACATTCGTAGTTTTTTGCTTTCCTTACCATGACATTCGTTATAAAACGGTTAAGCAGGGATGTATTTCGCCGTACACAGAATCCGAGGCCAGAGAATGCTATAACAAAGAAAATTGACATTTTCCGATTTTTGTCAGATTTTCCAAGTCAAAACGGTATTGGTATTAGATTTTTTTAACTTAATACAGAAAGGTACTATCTCACATCGTAGCTGAAATACAAAAAAAAGCCGTAATTAAACTAATAAATTTTAAAATCTTTAGACTTAGAAATCTTTTTGAAAAAAATTAATTTTTGTGCCAAAAAGAATTGCCCTTTGTTAAGTTAACATCTTCCGGTAATAAGTCGAAAAAAAGTCCATATACATATGCATTCGATACTTAGAGAAATAGTTCAATTTTCAAATCTTTTCCACTTAGAATTCTTTTCACACTTTCTCTGCTGAATCGGGTCACCTCTTTTTTATCTTACCACCCTAAATCGACTAGCTTAGCCAAACACCAAATCAGCGGTTTGAAATGCAAAAGCTACTGGCACCGGAAGCTGCTACTTTGGGACCAAAAGTGCCCTACTGGAACCGGTTAACAGTTTTATAGCCACCTCCTATTCACCGACAGATGTCAGGGTAATTCTGATGACTTCCATTATTGGTCCGGAAATCCTTTGGTTTGACATTAGCGGAAATGTGATTAGAAAGTGAAACAGCAGCCACGTAAAATTCACAAAATTTGGGGAAAATATAAAAAGCGATATTTATTCAATATGCAGCGATTGAGAAAGGGCGTCTTTTAGTTTGTGTGCTCGCTAAATTATTGAATAAAGCGTCGAGTTTGTGATACGAAGTGAATAATATTTTCAATGGAGGCCCAGCAAGCTCATTCATAATCGCCACAAAAACTCAGTTCAAGTGCAATGAACCAAAGCAGCTCTTCTTTTTCTCGCTGTTTGCCGCTGTTGTTGCTCGTTGCAGCCAACTGACGCGAATCGGAAATACCAAGTTAAGCTAAAGCCCTCTCCACTTGGGTTTTCCATCGCATTTCCTTGCTACCACCAGCAGCGGCTAAAAGTATATACATATGTATACATTCACACTGATCCTTGGACAGTGGCACTACGTTCTCAAAACAACAAATATTTGTTTTCCACTAAAGTAGTTTTATCGCGCAGGGCTTTCCCATAAACTAAGTGAAATATTTTAAGTACATACAACAACAACTCTACTTACGCAACTGTGTAACCGTATTGTTTTTCGTATAAACGGGTTCAAGGCAACCACGCTGTAAATATTCAGTATTTTGCAAGGAATCATTGATCTCATTGGAATTTTCTTTATAAACAAATACATAATGTGTTGGTGTTGTGTATATTGTGCCTATATAGAAAAAAAAATGTTAATTACACTATTCAAGCACGAAACCAACGTACTATGTACATACATATGCACATATATAGGAACGTGCGTTGAAGCTTCCGTAAGCGGCTGCCTCGCCACTGGAGTTGCTTGACGCACAAGGTGCGTGTGCTTTACTTGTTGGTGTTATTGTTGCCGCTTCGTTTTGGCGCGAAGATTTTGTTAATTTTTGCCAAATTCAAATGAGCCGCAGTAGAGGAGACATTGATCTCGTTAGCGTAACTGGCGGCGGTTAGTGCGTAAGGCATCAGCTACATACATATGTATATGAAGGTACATACATACATACATACATATGTATGTAAAGTAAGGCGTGGCGGCACATGTACTCGCGCTCGGTATCACGGAGCTTTGCAAGGTACATTGACACCTTTGCAAATTTGTATACTTTACGTAGTGAGCGGCTTGGTATGTGCGCGTGTTTGTGTTTCAAAATTATTTTCGTCTATTCGATTTCAGAGGGAAATATATAGAAGAAAACAAATTTTACGCGCGCTTTTTCGTTTGCTGAATTTTGTTTTTGTAATTGCATAATTTAAATTGAATTTTAGTAAGCTTGTGTTTTGGTACGCACCACAAAGGCTATTGACATTTTCAAGGATTTTTTGGTTTATTTTTAAAGCGTATTACAATTGATGTATGTTTGCTCATTAGACTGCATCACTCCCCATACAAAAAAAAAATCGGTACTGTGTTTCCATTGGAATTATAAAATCTATTATATTTTAAGGCTTCCACCAAAATATTTCCGAAAATATTAAGATTTACGTGAGCTGGACCGATTTGAAATTACCTCCAAAAATGGGGTTTTTTATGAATAAAAATAGTTTCTTAAGATTTTTTTTTTTTGTAAATAATCCCCTCAAATGATCACGCGAAACACGTAAACACGCGAAACACGCAATTTGAAAATATTTGAATTTTTTGAACTTGAAGTGGAGTTTTACCAAAAAAAAAAAAAAAAATTAAGTCAAAACTTAATGTGAGTAGTCAAAAGGTCTATACAAACATTTTAGCTTTTAAAATTATACACCATTTCCAAATCAAAATTAGTAAGGGTCAAATGAAAATACGAAAGCGTCGATTGTAAAGGAGATATACATACATATGTATTTCCTACTTTCACGAAATTAAAAAAAAAAAAACAAAAAAAATAATTGAGATCAAGCGGAGAATGGTACCGTGCGCGGCGAAAAACCTCGCATGCGCTAGGCTAAGGTTCCGCCATGTAAAAACCCCTCCAAATGAAAAGTTCAAATGAGATCTCATTCTTTTACTGGCGACCGCGCCAAGGGTTAAACAGCTATGATTTGAGAGTATGCACCTGGAATACCCGGATCTGTAATGGGTGCCTCTTCCCGTCTGCTTGATGTCCTTAGGAAGACCACCGTCACAGAGTAAATTTGTTCCCCCGGCGGACGCGCGTCTTGCCACAATCCACATCAAAACGAAATTCATCAAAATCTCGCTCATCTGCGCCCACGTCCCAACGGATGATAAGGGCGAGGCACTCAAGTTTATCTTCTTTGACGTCTGCACTGATACGATATCAAAATCGTGCTTGGCGATTTCAGTGCCAAGGTGGGCAAGGCAAGCGATCTTTGTCGCCACTGTCGGAAAATTAAGCCTCCACGACGAAACGTCCGATAACGAACTGAGGCCGATCGACTTGGTTGGTAGTGTGTAGTACTAGGTTCATGCATCAAAATATCCAACAAGCTACATGGCTGTCTCCAGATCGAAGAACGAGAAACCAAATCGATCATATTGTCAGACCACTTTTTTGTTAAAGCCAAGATACGTACCCGCCTCTGTGAGTCCAACACTGTAGGTAACGCTCAACGTCGAAAAGCTGCAATCACAACAGACGCCTAATTTATTCTTCACTCGGCTCACACATCTGCTCCTAGAGAGCACTCTTCAACAAACCGACATAAGCGAGCAGTGGAACCGCATTTACAGCTCATTAAGTTCCGTCGCCGAAGAAGTAGTCGGATTTAAGCGAGCCCGAAAGAAAGAAAGAAAGAACTGGTACGATGAGGAATGTCACGAAGTTGCAGAAAAATGGATGGCGCCTACAGGGACACGCTCGATCGGAAGCTAAAGAAGGTAGCGACACGTACTTTCCGTAAGAGGAAGGAGAGAGGCAAATACGTGAGAGCGAAGAGCTTGAAATGCTGGCCGACAGGAAAAACGCTCGAAAATTTTACCAGAGAGTTAGACGACTTACGGAAGGTTTCAAGGCCAGGGCGAACCCCTGTAAGAACAACCATGGTAACCTAGTGAGCGCTATCCAGAACGTACTTAAATTACGTTGAGAATACTTTTTCACCCTACTGAATGGTAACAGCACGGAAAGTTGTGGCGAAAACGAACTTAAGCCCGCCCTCACCGCCTTGATATCTTTTTTGTTAATTTAATTTGTTTTTTATATTTTTGATTAAATTTTCTTTAAATATTTAGATTTTATTGTTTTTAAAAGATTTGTTTTTTTAATTTTTTAGATTTTATTGATTTAATAATATATATTTTTTAATTTCATTAAATTCTTAGGAACTAATATTCTTTTTTGTTATTGTTTTTTTCTTTCTTAATTTTTAAAATTCCTTGATATTTTTAAATTAAATTTTAATTTAAATTTTAGATACTATTTTCTTTAAAAGAAAAATGTATAATTTTTTAATTTCATTAATTTGAATTTTTACAATTTTTTTTTTAAATTCAATAATAAATATTTTTTAATTTCGTAAAATTTGTAGGAACTTTTTCGTTAGTAGTTTTTTCTTTCTCCAATTTACATATATTTTTAATTTAAAAATTTTCTTGTTTTAAAAGGAAATATATTTCTTAATTTAATTTAATTTTTATAAACTTGTTTCGCTAATTTTTCTCGTTTTAATTTATTTTTTCTTTTATTAACTCAGCATTTTCTTCCTTTTTTATACAATTTTTTTGTAATTTTAGGTTTTATTGTTTTAAAAACAATTTTTTTTATACATTACATTTTCAAAACTGATTTAATTCTTTTCTTTTTAAATTTAATTTTAGTGCTCTACAAAAAAAAAAAATACTTTTAATGAAATTAAGTTTTTAGCTTATTTATTTTTTTTTCTTCATTTTAATGTTCGTTTTAAGTTTAATTGTATTTTAACTTAATTTAATTTTAAGAATTTTTTTTATTTTTTGTTTTTATTTAATTGAAAAGTTTTCTTTATAATTTTTAGTTTTTATAGTTAAAAAATATTTTTCAATTTAATTTTATTTTTAGAAACTTATTGTATTTATTCTTTCTAAGTTAAATTTTCTTTTGGTCTTTAGAAAAAGTACATATTTTTTTATTTGATTTGATTTTTAGAAACTTTTTTCTCTTTATTTTAATTAATTTCTTTTTCTTCTTTTAATTTGATTTTATTTGAATTTAATTTAGTTTTTAGGACCTTTGTTTCTTTTTCGTTGATTCTTTTTTTAGAGTTTAGTGTTTTAAAAAGTAAAACATTTTTTTTAATTTCATTTAATTTTTAGATACTCCTTTTGTTTATTAAAATTAGATTTAATTAATTTAAAAAGAAAAATAAGC